ACGGGTGACCAAGTCGGTGGTGCCAGAGGACGGTCTCGTGCGCCAGAGAGCGACACGAGCAGGGGGCCGACAGCTGACCTGACGCAGACGCAGACGCAGCTACCTGAGGGGACTCAGTGGTCAGTGTGTACAGGTCCGACCCCGGCTGCCGAGTGAAGGTAGCCAGGTGACGGCCCGTCCGAGCACACGTGCAGTGTGTCACGCGCTCGTAGGCAGGGGTGAACTGGTGAACACCCCCGTCCTGGAGCGCACAACCCGCCACCAAGTTCGTAGAGAACGAGGGGAGGTGGAGACCTGACAGTGTGCCCGACGGGACCGCAGGACAAGGAAGGACAGTGGAGGAGGTCGCAATGTTGGATGGATCTGCGTAAGCACTAGCACATGCAAAAAGAACTTCGAAATCCAGTGGCAGTCAGCCATGGACGCAGAGATGGCTTCCTGGAAGTCCACAGGCACCTACGTCGACGAGGTTCCCCCACCTGGGGCGAACATCGTCAGTGGCATGTGGATTTTCAGGGTGAAGCGGCCGCCGGGTTCTCCGCCTGTCTTCAAGGCGCGTTACGTGGCTCGAGGCTTCAGTCAGCGGCAGGGAGTTGACTACTTTCAGACCTTCTCTCCCACCCCGAAGATGACCACTCTTCGGGTGCTGCTGCACATAGCCGCTTAGCGCGACTACGAGCTTCACTCTCTTGACTTCAGCACAGCTTTCCTGCAGGGCAGCCTGCACGAGGAGATCTGGCTGCGCCGCCCACCTGGCTTCACTGGGTCGTTTCCTCCTGGTACCCAGTGGAGCCTTCGGCGGCCAGTCTACGGTCTCCGCCAGGCGCCCCGTGAGTGGCACGACACACTGAGGACTACGCTTGCGGCTCTTGGGTTTGCTCCGTCTACTGCCGACCCGTCGCTGTTTCTGCGCACCGACACCTCTTTGCCGCCGTTCTACATCCTCGTGTACGTCGACGACTTGGTCTTTGCCACAGCTGACACTGCTGGTCTCGCCCACGTGAAGTCCGAGCTGCAGAAGAGACACACGTGCACAGACCTGGGTGAACTGCGCAGCTACCTTGGCTTGCAGATCACCCGGGACAGAGCACAGCGCACCATTACCCTGACTCAGTCACACATGGTGCAGCAGGTCCTTCAGCGCTTCGACTTCACGTACTCCTCGCCTCAGGCCACTCCTCTGTCTACTCGCCACTCGCTCTCAGCTCTGCCTTCGGATGAGTCCGTAGAGCCGAGTGGCCCGTACCCAGAGCTTGTTGGCTGCCTCATGTACCTGATGTCCTGCACACGACCTGACCTAGCATACCCTCTTAGCATCTTGGCACGCTATGTTGCTCCTGGGAGACACCGACCAGAGCACATGGCTGCAGCGAAGAGGGTGTTGCGCTACTTGTGCAGTACGTCGGGCATGGGGCTAGTGCTTGGAGGGCGGCGTTCAGTGGTCCTCATAGGTCACGCAGACGCTTCTTGGGCTGACGACCAGGCTACGCAGCGGTCGTCACAGGGTTACACCTTCAGCCTTGGCTCCGGCTCTGTTTCGTGGCGGTCTACCCGCTCGTCTTCTGTTCTCGGCTCCAGCTGTGAGGCTGAGATCTACGCGGGGGCCATGGCTGCACAGGAGCTACACTGGCTCACCTACCTGCTGACTGACCTAGGAGAGCCGCCTCGTTCTCCTCCAGTTTTGTACGTAGACAACAAGGCCATGCTGGCCTTGTGTCGGGAGCACAGACTAGAGCACAGAACGAAGCACATTGCTCTTCGCTACTTCCTTGCTCGTGAGCTGCAGCAGCGTGGTCAGCTGCGCCTTGCTTACGTGGCCTCTGAGGCCAACACTGCTGATATCTTTACCAAGGCACTTCCGCCTTGTGATCATCATCGCTTCTGTACGATGCTAGGTCTTGTGCCTACTTGGCCTCACTTGCTCACTTCTTGGGGAGACGCGACGCGGCGGGCAGGTGACGACGCCGCGGCCAGGGCGACGCGGCGAGCAGGTGACGACGCCGCGAGCAGGGCGACGCCGCGAGCAGGTGGCGACGCCGCGGGCAGGGCGACACGGCGAGCAGGTGACGACGCCGCGGGCAGGCGACGACGCCGCGGGCAGGCGACGACGCCGCGGGTAGGCAACGACGTCGCGGGCAGGGGCTACGTCGCGGGCAGGCGACGACGCCGCAGGCAGGCGACGACGCCGCGGGCAGGCGACGACGCCGCGGGCAGGGGCTACGTCGCGGGCAGGTGACGACGCCGCGGGCAGGCGGCGACGCCGCGGGCAGGGCGACGCGACGGGCGGCGAGAGCCTGCAGGGGCGGCGCGCGGTCGGGCAGAGGCTGCGCGCGGGCCTGACGAGTCTGCAGGGGCGGCTCTCGGGCCTGACGGGCCTGCAGAGGCGGCTCGGGGGGGGCCTGACAAGTCTGCAGAGGCGGCTCGGGGGCCTGACGGACCTGCAGGGGCGGCTCGAGGGCGCACGAGGGCGCTCGAGGGCGTACGAGGGCGCACGAGGGCGCACGAGGGCGCACGAAGGCGCACGAGGGCGCACGAGGGCGCACGAAGGCGCACGAGGGCGCACGAGGGCGCACGAAGGCGCACTAGCAGAGAAAGGCGCACGAGGGCGCACGAGGGCGCACGAGGGCGCACGAAGGCGCACTAGAAGAGAAAGGCGCACGAGGGCGCACGTAAGGTAGGGCGCACGAGGGCGCTTCTAGGGGAATAGTGGGCCCATAGTAGAAAGCGGTCCTAGGTAGCAACCTAGGCTCGTGATACCATGTTAGAATCTAGAATAGAACGAGAATGCATGAAACTAGGTAGGAGGGGGATACAAGTAGGAAACCCTAACAAAGCTGTACCCCCTAAGGCTAAACCCACTATAGCCTACACAATATAAACATATAATGTTTGACAGAAGCAGCGAGACGCGCTTGAGTCGAGTAGGCCTCCTCAGGCTCTGCACCTGTGCTAGCTGAGTCACAAGCACCTAGACTAGCAGCCTCTACACCACCAGGTGCCTCTGCACCCCCAGCACTAGTACCGAAAGCTCCGCCATCGAGGCTGCCACACCGGACAGCCCAGTCACGAAGCTGCTGCAGCGAGAGGGTCTCCGACGGACGCTGCTGCCGCTGCTGTCCACCCCAAGGACCTCCGCGGCCACCAGCTGTACCTCCAGCAAGAGTAGACGTGTATCTACACTTGCCGTACCTCCCCTAACAATGTATGGTTCTGCCGCAGTGGCCGGGTGGCAGGAGAGATTGAAGAGTAGTACCTAACAACAACGTCTTAGAGAGTGTGGGCCGACGTCACCTGATGAAATTGTATCACCCGAATCGCCTTGTAACGATGAATATGGATGTGTGGTTCTTGAAGTCAATTGATACGGAAACTTCAAGTGATATAGGTTCAAAGCCTCTCGTCAGAATCCATGGCGGACTCGTCATTCTGAGTTCGTCACGAGGCGAATCATGTGCTGATGACTCTCCTTCCAAACTATTGCTTATATATGTGGTGTATACTTCATGCAGCGCACCCTTATGTTTCTGTTACGGGTGCAATGAATCGAGGTAGCGAGGATTGTAGTAAGTTGTCAAACGAGTGCCAAGTATGAGCGAAGGCATGAACGAATACTTATACGCGAAAACATGCAAACAGTAACGCGGTGTGTGCGAGCTAGCTAGTGCTACGCTGGCGCGAGGTTCGGGCTAGTCCCGAAGCGTAGGCTGACTCGTCTACTCCAGCAGTGCAAGGTTTGGTGAAACAGTGCGCGCGAAGTTGGCGAAGCCCCGTTAGCAACAACGGCTACTCTATTCGGCTACTACCTATACTTAATAATCTGTGATATGGCGGAACTAAAACTATGTGTACATGATTTAAAAGCTACTTATACCCCTTGACTCAGCTTTATTATCTTGACAAATTTCTTGAACTAGATCTTTAGTCATTCTACCAATATCACCTATTAATCTAACGCATCAACTTCTTTCTTAGGGGGTGTCCAGTTCGTTCATTTCGGGGTCATTTAAACCGCTTCCAACCATTTTGCACCAGAATGAAAATTTGTGTTCATATTGGCGGACCAGTAAGACACCAAGCCGTCTGTTTCCATTATTCCTCTCCATTGACCTCGTCGTCGCATTCGCATCTCTGCGATCAACCATACTGGACCACCCTTGATGACTAGGAAAGGATTTTCGCACATCTTCTGTAAACCGACTTTCACCGCTTTAGACCATCGCACACCAGAATGAACCTACAAAAGTCAGATTTTAACGAACGAAATTGGGCCGCAATAATTCATCACGCAATTCGTAATTCATCCGCTTCACCTCGCCACAAACTCATTTATGCGATTACCGGAATCGCGTTCGCGGAATGCCCATTAGTTGGAAAGTAGCAGAAGTCGGGAAGGAATCCACCACTAGGAGGCGTCGCACTAAGAATGACCGCGTTACTTGCGATCCTCGGGTCGTCGTCGCCACGGCGAGCGTTTTCTGCTCTGCGGGTCGCTGCCAGTAGTGAAACTGCCGGGGATCGTCCCACGCCGGTGGCGACCTTCCCTGGCGAAGTGGAACGCGTGCTCGTTGCTGCGACGGCGTCTCCATCGCTTGACGCACTAGACTTACGTTGGCCGCTGCCTGCTTGCTGCACGAAATGCTTCCCTTCATTGCTAACGATTGACCGGAGGCTCGGAGATTTCCGACGCGAAACGAGAGGTTCGGAGGGTGTGATGCGATGCGAGTGATGGGTGAGGCGAGGCTCGAGAGGCGAGCACATAGTAGAAAAGGAGACGGGAGCAGCAGCGATGAGCAGCATAGTTCATCGCAGCCGCTTCCTTTCAAGCGAAGCTTTCACCCTTCGCTCTCCCACCGTCGCCGCGGCGCTTGTAGCTCCTCTCTTCAGTCCTTCCTGCCGTCGACCGAGTGGTCGCGCGTCCATTGCTTCAATCTCATCTCAACCGATCCAAACCTCCCTATAACGCTCCATCGTCGTGATCGTACCCGCGTGCTGCGCGCCTCATGGGGACGCCGCCGGCGAGTATGCGGCGGAAAATGGGGAGTGCGACGCTCGTGATTCGCGTCTTCCTCGTCGCGCTCTTCACCGGTACGACTCGCCGCATTGCGCCCCCTGCCTTTCTCCTCCCACGCATGTCCTTTGTCAATACGCCTTTTGCTCAATACGGGCAGCGAGGCCGGCTCGAGCACCCAGAAAGTAACGAGCGCGGTCAGCAATGCAGCGACTGAGAGCATCAAGAAAGTGACGGACAAAGCTAGCACGAGCACGAGCACGAGCACCAACACAGCAACAGACAAGGTCAGCAATGTGGTGAGCGGCACAAACACCAAGACAGCAACAGACAAGGTCAGCAATGTGGTGAGCGGCACAAACACCAAGACAGCAACAGACAAGGTCAGCAATGTGGTGAGCGGCACAAACACCAAGACAGCAACAGACAAGGTCAGCAATGTGGTGAGCGGCACAAACACCAAGACAGCAACAGACAAGGTCAGCAATGTGGTGAGCGGCACAAACACCATTAAAGCAGCGGATGCGGGGAGCAACGACAACAAGGGCAGCGAGAAAGAAGTGGATGCGGGCAGCAATGGCGTGAGCGACAACAAGGGCAGCGAGAAAGCAGTGGATGCGGGCAGCAATGGCGTGAGCGACAACAAGGGCAGCGAGAAAGCAGTGGATGCGGGCAGCAATGGCGTGAGCGACAACAAGGGCAGCGAGAAAGCAGTGGATGCGGACAGCAATGGCGTGAGCGACAACAAGGGCAGTGAGAAAGCAGTGGATGCGGGCAGCAATGGCGTGAGCGACAACAAGGGCAGCGAGAAAGCAGTGGATGCGGGCAGCAATGGCGTGAGCGACAACAAGGGCAGCGAGAAAGCAATGGATGCGGGCAGCAATGGCGTGAGCGACAACAAGGGCAGCGAGAAAGCAGCGGATGCGGGCAGCAATGGCGTGAGCGACAACAAGGGCAGCGAGAAAGCAGCGGATGCGGGCAGCAATGGCGTGAGCGACAACAAGGGCAGCGAGAAAGCAGCGGATGCGGGCAGCAATGGCGTGAGCGACAACAAGGGCAGCGAGAAAGCAGCGGATGCGGGCAGCAATGGCGTGAGCGACAACAAGGGCAGCGAGAAAGCAGTGGATGCGGGCAGCAATGGCGTGAGCGACAACAAGGGCAGCGAGAAAGCAGTGGATGCGGGCAGCAATGGCGTGAGCGACAACAAGGGCAGCGAGAAAGCAGTGGATGCGGGCAGCAATGGCGTGAGCGACAACAAGGGCAGCGAGAAAGCAGTGGATGCGGGCAGCAATGGCGTGAGCGACAACAAGGGCAGCGAGAAAGCAGTGGATGCGGGCAGCGAGGGAGCAGGCGGCCAGGGCAGCGAGGCAGCGGGCGGCAAGGCCGGCGAGGCAGCGGGCGGCAAGGCCGGCGAGGCAGCAGGCGGAAAGGGCGGCGAGGCAGCGGGTGGCAAGGGCGGCAAGGGCGGCGAAACGTCGGGCGGCAAGGGCGGCGAGGCGTCGAGCGGCAAGGGCGGCGAGGCATTGGGCGGCAAGGGCGGCGAGGCGTCGGACGGCAAGGGCGGCGAGGCGTCGGGCGGCAAGGGCGGCGAGGCACCAGTGACCACCCAGCCACCAGTGACCCCCAAGCCACCAGTGACCCCCAAGCCACCAGTGACCCCCGAGCCACCAGTGACCCCCGAGCCACCAGTGACCCCCGAGCCGGCAGTGACCCCCGAGCCACCAGTGACCCCTGAGCCACCAGTGACCCCCGAGCCACCAGTGACCCCCGAGCCTCCAGTGACCCCCGAGCCTCCAGTGACCCCCGAGCCACCAGTGACCCCCGAGCCACCAGTGACCCCCGAGCCGCCAGTGACCCCCGAGCCACCAGTGACCCCCGAGCCACCAGTGACCCCCGAGCCACCAGTGACCCCCGAGCCACCAGTGACCCCCGAGCCACCAGTGACCCCCGAGCCACCAGTGACCCCCGAGCCACCAGTGACCCCCGAGCCACCAGTTACCCCCGAGCCACCCGTGACCCCCGAGCCACCAGTGACCCCCGAGCCACCAGTGACCCCCAAGCCCACAGTCATCCCAGAGCCCCCATTCATCCCCCCTGGCAATGTCACCACCGCTGGCAATGGCACCACCCATGACAATGGGACCACCCCAGTGCCCCCCACTGTTCCCCCCGCACCCCCAGCGCCCCCTGCGCCCCCCATTATAGTGAACAGTGTGGGCACGAGCATGCGTAAGGGGCGTTCCTTCAGCTTTGCCAGGAGCAGCTGCGTGGGCATTCCGGGCAAGACTGGGCGCGGGAAGAAGAAGGTGCAGGTGGTGTGGCAGCAGCCGGGGAAGGTTGGGGCAGGGCAGCAGGCGTGCAAGAGGATCGAGTTCTTTGTGGCGCCGAGCTGCAAGGGCAAGGCTGTGAAGACCCTGGTGAAGGGCACGCGGTGAGTTGGGGTTGAGTTGGGCAAGGGGTGAGTTGGGCAAGGGGTGAGTTGGGCAAGGGGTGAGTTGGGTAAGGGGTGAAGGGCGAGTGGTGAGTTGTGGTGTTGTGCAAGTGTGAGAATGCCCGCAGTCTTCCCTGCTTCGCACCTCTTGCTCACCACCAGTGGCCCATTGCTCACCACCAGTGGCCCATTGCTCACCTCTCACTCTCTGTCTTACTCTCTTTTCCACTGCCCCGCCTCATCCATCACGTTCCCCCTTCCATCATTTCCTGCGTGGCCAACTCTAAGAAGATTGGCAAATCAGTGAAGCCTGCTCGCTGTGTCACTGGTGCGTACCCCCCTGTGTGTCTCTCGTTCATCTGAGTCATTTTCCTTTCCCTTCATTTCTTTTTCTTGAGTACTTTCCACCATTGGGTGCCCTGGGTCGTGCGTCAGTACGCCCCCACCTTCCCCCATTCACCCCTCCTCCCTCCCCGCTTATCGCCTTTGTGCAGGGAACATCCCAAAGAAGTGATTTCGCGGAGGTGATTTGAGAGGATGAAATTTGAATGTCCAGCTGGTGGGTGGGAGCAGATGCACTGCCTGGCAGCCAAAGTAAGAGTGCTGCCTCGCAAATAAACAACAGCAATCTCGTTTCTTTTTCTTCGGCTTTCACTTGTTTGTTGTGTGCTCTTGATGGCCCTCTGTTGTGTTTGTATTGATATGCTGGAAAGCACCTTGTATTTTGTCTTTTATGACTGATTTGTCTCTAAAGTATGATTTAGTTTTATAATGCTTCAACTTGCCTGATCTTGTCAAAATTCTAGAGTAACTTATCGTATTCTCCCGGACAAAACACCCCCCCGTAATAGTATACCCCCGAGTAGCTTGTGCGGGGGGGGTGCTATAGCCGACCTCGTTTGTACTATACCCCCCCCTTTTGGGTGATTTTCTATAACACCCCCTTTTCTTACAGATTCCTATTATAGCTGTTATCGAGTCAGATTCCTTACGGGAGAATATCGCGAGGATGCTTCCTAGATGAAATTTCGCGTGTACTTTCACTTAGAATCTGCTGAAATTTCCTTCCTCCCACAATCTCGCTGTCGCCACACTGGCGAATCTGTCGTTGCAAGTAGACATTTCCCCCCTCCCACAATCTCGCTGTCGCCACGCTGGCGAATCTTCCGCTGCAAATGGCCCGAAAGGTGAAACTCACATTCTCGCCGTAAACTGTGATGTTAAAACGACCATTGAAACACCCAAATTGTCTAATCAAAGAATACTCTTACATTAAAATATACCATATGTAACCACCCGGGTATTATATAGGATTTTCCGTTGAGAGGACCCCCCCCCTTTTTTCCCTGTGATTATCTGTTAATTGATATTGCATATCTTATACCTGCCTATAGCTTGCTAGTGTATTAGTTTAGTTATTAGCATCAACTGCTGGTGGTGTACCCTCTTCTTCTCTCTTCCTTCTCCTATATCTTGTACTCTTGCCTAATATCAAACCCCCTTCTTTTGGCCAAACCTCTCCCTCCATGATTCTCCTTGCTAAGCCTCTCCAAAAGCCCAGCTCCTAGTTAACTCGTTATTCAACATGGTTATCAGAGTGTGGTCTTTTCTAGGACCTATTCTAAATGGGCCCACCAACTCCGCCTTCTGCCATGGCGGCCCACTATGCTGCTTGCGCGAAATCTGCTGCTGTTTCCGGAGCCTATGCTAAACCCGTCGCGCTGCCCCCCGTCGCCTTCAATTCGCCTGCCTCGTCGCGGCGCTCAGGGCGACGGTCGCGGCGGCCATCATGGCGAGCGCCATCGACCCGCCAGCGCGTTCGCGAATGCGCCGGCGATAGTCGCCAGCGGGAGCGCGAGCGCGAGCGCCAGCGCCAGCACCAACGGCGGACGCCAACGCCAGCGCCGACGCCAGCGCCCAGCGCCAACGGCGGTCGCCAGCGCCAACGGCGGTCGCCAGCGCCAGCGCGGACGCCAGCGCCGATGGCGGGCGCCAGCGCCAGCGCCAACCGCGGGCGCCAGCGCCAGCGCGACGCCAGCACTTCCACCAGCGCCGGTGCATGGGGGGGAGGGGGATGAGGGGGTGGCGGGGGTGACCAGCTCCTTGCTCTCTCCCTGCAGCGCCTGTCGCTGTGGGGGGGGGGGGGAGGGTGAGGGGGTGGCGGGAGAGCTTTTGCCGCGCCAGCCGCCTCCTCTCTTCTCCTCTCCTCTCTCCTCTGCTCCAGCCGCTCCTTCTCTCCTCTCCTCTCCTCCAGCCGCCTCCTCTCCTCTATTCTCCTCTCTCCTCTGCTCCAGCCGCCCCTTCTCTCCTCTCCTTTCCTCCAGCTGCCTCCTCCTCTCTCCTCTCCTCTCCTCTCTTCTCTCCTCTCCTCTCCTTCTCCTCTCCTCCTCTCCTCTCCTCCAGCCGCATCTCCTCCTCCTCTCCTCTCCTCCAGCCGCATCTCCTCCTCCTCTCCTCTCCTCCAGTTGCCTCTCCTCTGCTCTCCTCCTGTGCACCACCAGCAGCTTCCTCCTCCTCACCAACAGTTGTGTTTGCTCGTAGATGGCGAGCGACCAGCATCCTTCGCCCTCCGGCTATCCCAGCCCTCCTCCGCGCTCTCCGCGCCCTCCTCCGTTCTGGCGTTCACAGGTGCTGCCGGTTAGCAACCGCTGTTTCTGTGCATATCCCAGCTACAAGCAACTGTTCTCCAGGCGACCTGGTGCCAGACACCACTAGCTATAGCCATAGGCAGTTACGGGGGTGTGTTAATTGATATTGCATATCTTATACCTACCTATAGCTTGCTAGTGTATTAGTTTAGTTATTAGCATCAACTGCTGGTGGTGTACCCTCTTCTTCTCTCTTCCTTCTCCTATATCTTGTACTCTTGCCTAATATCAAACCCCTTCTTTTGGCCAAACCTCTCCCTCCATGATTCTCCTTGCTAAGCCTCTCCAAAACCCCAGCTCCTAGTTAACTCGTTATTCAACATTATCATAATACCCCCGGGTGTTATGTCCGGGAGAATACGGTAGGAGTCATCACGAGTATCAGGAAAAAAGCCCTGAAATTCCTGATTTTGGCAGTCAATTTATTACCTACCCTGAAAAGTCAGTGTTGAGTTTTTTGTGAGACTGGTCTTTCAGCCTTTTTTGATAGGCCACACTGCAATTTCAGTTTTTTTTCCCCCTAGTACAGTGATGCCACTACGTTGTAACGAAACCAACACTAAAAGCGATTCTTACCTGTGCCGTGTGGATTTGACCGCAATTACAGGGAATCTAAGATTCACACAGTGGCGGGACCAATCTTTGAAATTTTGCCTCAGGTTCACGTTGAGAGGTGTTTTTTTGGCGCGACGTCTCACACCATTGGGCTTTTTCGCTGCAGCATACAGTCTTGGCCAATCCGAACGTGGCCACCATGTGGTGTTGGAGGGCTGCTAACGTTCCTGCCCCGTACCCATCACCTGCGACGCGTTAGGATTGGGCTGTGCTGGCAAGCACCGTGCCATCCTTCTTGACGTCGTGGTGGGGATGCTTCAACGCCGCCCAGCCCATGCACCGTTTCCGCAATCCAGGGGCCCCTTCTTCTCCAACCTTTGCATCCGAAGCTGGGTTTCCCTCTTTCTTCCTAGTGTACCAAGAGGCAGCGAGCCGTTGCCTGTGCTTTGCCCGTGCAAGCCCTTGCATCCGCGGTCGTCACTAGGTTAGATGCGAGGCCGTCCCCGCTACTTACCATGGTGGAACAGCTTGACGGCACGAAAACAAACGGCGAACACGGCGGTGATGCGCATCGCCAGCCACTTGTAGACCGTTCTGAAGCTGTAACCGGCCTCGACTTGTTGTTTTCGGGCTTAGCGCAAGTTAACGTCAATGAGAAGCCCCCAGAACTCGAGCCGCCAGACAAGACCCGTTCGAGCACATCGATGAGGAGGCGCTGTGTCCATCCCCGACAGCGCCAGTCATCGAGCAGGACAGCTCACCGCCTCCAGCTGAAAAACCCGCTCCCGAGCCCGTGGCCAAGAAAACCGGCCGATACATGCAGTCAACGCTGCCATGGTTTTCAAAAGGCGCAGACGACGGAGCTACCATGCCTTCGCCAGCCGACCAACGGTCGTCGTCCGTGATCGCCAAAACGCAGGAGTCGCCATGAGTTCCTGGTCCTTCTAAACGGTCGGAACGCGACGCGCTTTACGCTAAGGCCCTGTATAAGTACAAGACCGAGTGGCTCGACAGGTTTTCGTGGCTTATTCTTTTGCGGCAATCTGACGGTCTCCCTGCTTTCAAGTGCTCTATCTGTACCGAGCATGCAGGTTATGGTGGAAAGTGCGGGAAATGCGGGAAGGGCGCCACGGACGTACAGACGCAGGCGTTCAAGAGGCATGCATTAACAACCAAGCACAAGGAGGCGGTCAAGAACAAGGAGAAGCTTCTTGCTGAAGCTGGCCGACAGCCGCGTATCAACGGTGACAACCTTGCTCGTGACACCGAGAAGGAACGTGTCATCAAGTTGTGCGACTCCCTCCTCTTAGTAACCAAGCAAGATGCACCCATAGAATTATGGGTGCACCTTGTTCGCTACCTCGCGGCGCAGAAGGTTCCGGGATTCCCCTCGAAAGGATACGGAACGTACTACACAACGTGAGTAACCGCATACGCATCATGTACTTGCTGGTGTGTTTGTTTAACATGTGTGTTTGCTCTAACATTGACTCACATGCGCCACAGGTACGGCTTTGGACAACTAACACAATCGATTGCGACGTGGTTACACACAACGCAACTCCAGCACATCCTTGCAAGCCCGTACGTCGGACTTACATGTGACGAGAGCACGGACAGGTGTCGGGGAAAACACATGATTATTTTCGTTACCTTCATCCGTGAGAACCGCGCGGTCACCGAGTTTCTTGCCCTGCTGACTGTGGAGAAGTGCGACGCATCATCTCTCCTCTCAGTGTTTCTGTCCCACCTGCAGGCCCTCGGCATAGAGCTTGCCAAGATCGCTAGTATAAGCACCGATGGGGCGAAGGTGATGATGGGAAGCAAGGACGGCCTTGTCGTTCGACTTCGCCTCCGCATACCGCATCTCGTATCAGGCCACTGCATAACCCAGAGGTACGTTTATGGTTGACCCTGCTTATCCCGCTTGTCTGTAACATTCTATGCGGCAACCTCGTGTTTCAATTTGTGTTGTGTTATGCCTGGAGGGAGGCGCTCGCGGTAAAAGATGCAGCGGAGGCCCTTCCCGAGTTCGACATGGTCGACGTGCCGATCCGTCAAGTCGCAGAGCATCTCGGCCATTCCAGCCCTTGGCACCAACGATTTCTGGACCTTCAAGAAGTTTTCACGGCTACGAACCTGGAGCTCCAGGGGATTCATCAAGTCCACTGGCTCTCGAGGGGTGACGCCGTTCTGCGTCTGGTGGCCGTCTTCCCAGCGCTCATCGTCATGCTGTATGAGTGGGACGAAACTCTGTACGAGCTCGCCACCAACTACAGGTTTCACTTTCTCTTGTACTTCCTTGCAGACG